GATGGAGTCAGCATCCTTTGTTCTCAAGCCTGAGGTTCCTGGTGCGTCAATCAAGGTCATGTTCACCTGATGTAGCGGTCATCTTTTGGTGTCCCTTTTTCATTCTTTTAGCAACACTTTCTCCTTTCTTTGAAGAACTGCTACCTCTTGCTTCCTGTGTGTGGCTCTGGTGGAATTGTCCAATCACAGTGTCCTGCCCTCTTTGCCACAGGAGTGGGGCATATGACTCACACTGCCCTGATCAGAATCAGTGCCTAGACTATAAAAAGCACGTATGAAGGAAACTCTCTTTCCTCTTTGACTGTGAGCCCTAAACATGTGATTCCAGAGCTGTTTGAAGGTCATTTCCCTGTCCATGAGGTCAGATAGAGAATCAAAGAGTTCTGACAACATTGTGTGCCTAGATATAGATATGCCTGAAGCTCTCTTGATCTCTGTCTTTCCCAACTACATTAGCCAATAGATCCCCTTCTTCAGCTAGTTTGAGTGGATTTCTGTTGTTTGTGATTGAAAGCTCTATCCTCTAGGAATTTAAAACAAATACATGTATTCAACATTGAGGAAATCAATAAAATCAACATTAGGTGGATGTATTAGGGTTCTTCAGAGAAACAAAACTAATAGTATATATATAAAATAGGATATATAGAGAGAGAAATTGAGATTTATTTTGAGGAATTGGCTCATGCAATCATGGAGGCTGGCAAGTCCAAAATCTGCAGGGTGGGCTGTCAGGCTGCAGACACAGGAGAGAGCCAAGGTAGTGGCCCAAGTCCAGTTCTACTGGCAAATTCCTTCTTACTCTGGGGAGGTCAATCTTTTGTTCTTTTCAGGCCTTCGACTGATTGAATGAGGCCCACTCACATTATGTAAGGCAATGTGCTTTACTCAAAGTCCACTGATGTAAATGTTAGTCTCATCCAAAGTACCCTCACAGAAACACCTAGAATAATGTTTGACTAAAAATATCTAGGCACTATGGCTCAGCCAAGTTGACACATACAATTACCCATTACAGTGGGTAAAGTTTGCTTTCATCATCAATTTATTCCTGATTCCTTCTTCCATATCTTGACCCCCCTCTCTCTGCATTACTGCACTCAATTCCACATGCCCTTGTATTGTCCCTTTCTTGTTCAGTGTCACCAACCAAGGTAATCTTTCCAGGTCTGCCTTCTTTCTGATTTCAGAATTATCTTTATCCCATTAAAACTTGCATTTCCTCAGTGACCTTTTCACACCTGGTATCCAAATGAAAAGTAATCCTATAAATAATTCATTCTAAAGTGTTAATAGATGATAATGACTTAATGTAGGATCTCCTGGGGAAGGAGGATGTGTTCTGCGTTAAATATATGTGTACAGGTGGAGTTTAGGCAACTTGATAGGTAAGGAGTGGAGGTAACGTTGGATGAGGGAACCTTCTGGTCCCCTTATAATCTCATTTTGTGAGTGACTATCTAGTACTCTATAGTCAAGCCCTAACTATTTAACAACTGGTTCCCTTTTTAACGTTTCCTTTCAAAAAGGGGCAAATGCAAAGATGTAGATGTCTGAGATGGCATTCTTTTTTAGGGAACTGGCAGTAGTTCCATATAGCTAGACCATAACATGCTTGAAGAGAGTGGTGGGAGATGATGCTGATAAAACTGGCAGGAGTCACTTCCTGAAGAACCGTGTGTGTGCATAGGAGTCTGGACTTAATCCTACAGGTGAAGGGTACTCAGTGAATTGGAAGCAAGTAGAAACAGGATCAGATTTGTGTTGTTGAAAGGTCACTCTGAAAGGATGAAGTCGGGTAGTGGTGGAAGCAAAGGGATTCATTTAAGGAGTCTTTCTGAGGCCTTGACTGGTGCCTTTTGTTCTTGTGTTCATTTCTTCCTTCTCAGAGGCCTTAGTGGCTCAATTTGCTTTTTTTCCTTTGATACTTGCCTCCATCTTCTCTGTCCATTATGGTACATTTCTCCACAAACTACCTAAAAAGTGGGACCAATTCCTCCCCCTCCCACCTTCTTGTTATGCACAGACCTTTTTTTCAATTGAGATATAATTGACATATAACCTATTATTTTCAGGTGTACAACATAATGATGTGATATACATATATATTGCAAAGAGATCACCACAATTAGTCTAGTTAACATTTATCACTACAGTTACAAATTTTTTTCTTGTGATGAAAACTTCTAAGATCTACTCTCTTAACAACTTGCAAATATACAACTCAGTATTATTAACTATAGCCACCATCCTGTACATTACATCCCTAGGACTTATTTATTTTATAAGTGGAAGTTTATAACCAGACATTTTTTATTTTAATAATTTTATTGCTATTTGTCTTTGGAATTCTGATAAGCGATAACAAAAAATGACATGGGAAGACATTTAAAAATCTTATAAAGCTATTTCAAACATGGTTCTTCTTTTCTTTGGAAATGGCAACTGGAAGCTCTGATGGCCTTCCATCAGGCTGCATGGCAAAGAGAAGGCTGAGAGCCATCAGATTTGACAGGACTAATCTTGTGAACAGGGAAATGGACTTACATAAGGGGTGATGAATGACATCCCCTTACCATCACTACTTTTAGTTCAGTTCAGAACTTTTGATTAGGAGAGAAAATCCTTTCCATTTCCTCAGATGTCTGAATTAGACCCAGATGTCCCCTTTCTTTCATAGATCATTTATTTTCTCCTCCAGCCCTTATTCCCAAAGGTCCAGCTAAGGCAAAGCTCCAGATATAGGGGGGTCAGACAAATAAACTTCTTCCATATTACTGTCTGGACTGGCACATGGTTACAAAGGGCTCTTTGTTGCAGTGGGTTAGTGATGTTGTTCATGGTTGGGTTGGGAAAATATTGGCTTTCAAAGTTTCTTCCTCTCAGCTGGTCGTAAGCACCTTCCAAAATAGCTGTAGAATGGAGATAAGACAACTGATAGTCATGGTGGAGTAACAAGCAGCAGAAGAAAGCAGGGGTTCAATGGATTATTATAGTTTGAGCATGAGAACTTTGGTGCTACTGCGGGCATTCTCTGTGGCCTGGAGAGATTTGCTGGCAGTGCACAACCGTGTTGTTCAAACATTGGAATCATACCTCGACTCCTTGGCAACATTACTAAGGTCTGACCAGAACCTCTAAGATGAGGAGAAGATGTACATCCACAGAGCCTTTTACTTCTTGAATTAAGAAATGTGTTGTCTATTAACAAAGAGCTCGCTGTTCTTTAACTTTGCTCTGGGTGATTTAGGGACCTGTTTAAGAGCATGAAATATTAAAGGACTTTCAGGTGAGAAATACTTTGATTAATTAAATGTGACATTTTTCCCCCTCTCTTTGAGGCCAGTGATAAAAAGGCATTTTTTTCACTCTGAGAAAAACTGAGAAGCCCTTTGCTCATATGATCATATAACCAGCCGTAGAAAGTCAATTTTCCTAAGAACATATAGCTTTTTGTACTCATTCAAAAACTTTTTTTTTATTTGGTGAGGAAGATTCGCCCTGAGCTAACATCTGTGCCAATCCTCCTGTAGTTTGTATGTGGGATGCCTCCACAGCATGGCTGACAAGTGGAGTAGGTCCTTGCTGGGATCCAAACTGGTGAACCTGAGCTGCCAAAGTCAAGTGTGAGGAAGTTTAACCACTCAGCCACCAGGCAGGCCCCCCAAAACATTTTTGACCCCTTACTTTGTGCTAGGGTTTATACTAGGTGTTTGGTCTGCCAAGACTTGTTCTAGCCTCAAGAAACTTACAGCCTAGTAGGGACATACACAAAAAATCATAAAATATCAAAGCATATTGCTTTAAAGGGGCAGCTCAAAGAATGAGGTTAATACACATCCTCAAGTCTGTGTGGGGAGACAAAATAGATTTTCCCCAGGAGGTGGCATTTAAGTAGAGATGGGCCAGGGATTCCACAAAGAGTAACCAACATGTGCAAAAAATTTGAAAATGATGGCCCAGTGTAAAGGGCTGGAAGGTGAGGTAGGAAGAGAGCAGTAGTGTGAGGTAAGACCAGACATCTGGGGTCAGAAGTCCATGCACATTCTGCATGCCATCCAATTGTTGATTTGATTCTACTCTAGAGCCATTAATAGAGTTATGGTAAACATCTACATTTGACGAAAGATACCATTTAAATCTTCCTAAAGCAAATGCTCAGGTAATAAATTCTCAGAAACATCATCTCTCTCTTGGCAGGAATGGTGCATTAATTCACAGAATTAATCTTTCATGAGTCAAACCTTAAGGATGTCAAATCTAGGCAATTCCTATGGTCTTCTCAGATGGGCTATCAGAAATCCGGGCCAGCAGAGTTTCTTAAGGAGAGGCGGATAGTGTTGGATATTTGAGCCTTACAATCTACCCCTCCCCCTCTGCAAGAAACTAGGAGTTAGAGAGGCAATGGCCAGGGGTGGGGATGGGGTGCGGAGAGCTTTTAGAGGCCAAGCATATCACACAGAGCTTCAGTCGAGAACTGAATTGCTTGTTAACAGAAAGACAGGCTGAACCTGAATGACGCTTTGCAGTTAGGATTTTGGGACCTCTTCTCCCTCACCTCACTCAATTCGTTTGTAACTCTTCTTCAGCCTAATGTCCCTTTTCTTCCCTGAGTTGTCTGTCTGTGCCCCAGGAGCCCCCTTTTTAGGCCTCCTGTTTTCCACCTTCTCTTTCCCCGCTTCGTGGGGTACCGGCGCCTGGGGCCCTGGACCGCACTAGGCGCCCTCCCCGAACGCTATTTGCTTTGCTAACAATTCCATCCTCTTTTCCTTATGCTTCCGTCATTCCTTGCCAGCCACCCAGTTTCTTCCTCCCCCACGGCGCAGTCCCTCCCGCTGCTCGCCCGAGGGCCGGGCGGCTCCAGGAACCTCAAGCGGATGCGGCCCGGAGCCGATGCCACGTCTCCGCCGCCAGCAGGCCAGCGCCTGCGTGGGCTCGGGGGCGGGGCGGCGCGGGGAGGCGGGATTTGTGCGTGAGCGGCGCGGGCGCCGCCCAATAGGACCTGCGGGCGGCGGCGGCGGCGGCGCGGTGCGCGCGGAGGGGCGGGGCCCGGCGGCAGTTGCTGTCGAGCCCGGGAGGTCGAGAAGGCTGTGGTTGTCTCGGCCGTCGCATCCCGCAGGGAGTCTGGTCACCGCCGCCTGTCCCGCAAGCCCGCCCGTCACCCACAGGCACGTGTGTACGCTGCCGACCTTGCCAGTCGCTCGCCGTTCGTCGTGTGAACTGCGGCTCCTGCATCATGTGTGGTAAGGGGGCCGCGGGCGGGGGGCGTGTTGCGAGGCGGTGCCGGGGTGTGCTGTGGACGCCGCCAAGGCCGGAGGCGCGGGCTGGAGCGGGAGTGTGGAGCGTGCGAGGTCTGGGTGATGGGTGGGGGGCGTCCCGCCGTGGCTGCGGGTGCTGGGGCCAGGGGCCGGCCTCTGCGAGCCGGAGGGGGTGTAGTGGACCTAAGCGGGCACCTGAGAGGAGGGCGGGCCCTAGAGGGGATCTGGGGGGCCGAAGGCGGCGGCCTTGCGGGGAGAGAACCACGAGGGAAGAGAAATGTCTGTATTGGAAAAAGAGAGAGGGCTGAGGGAACTGCGGTGTGGAGGGGAGTGTCCTCAAAAGAGTCCACCAGGTGAGTGAGCAACCTGTGGAACATTAGGTGAGGTCTCTCTGAACTGAACTTGCCTTCTCCTGGGATTTACCTTTTTGAAAATACTGATTTTTTGTTGCTTTCTTTTGGGCAGGCCCATTAGAAAACAGAACTATAGCTAGAGATACGACGATGGCATTACACATGGGCTTACTTCCTGCCACCCCCTGTCTCAACAGAAACCATTGCTAATCAATAAGTTGGCGAAGGGGCTTAGACTTGACCTTTGGTGGGAGATGTCCGGAAGTGACCGTGGTCATAGATCATACATCGTTTCTCACTTGCGTGTGCACTCGTTTAGAACACTTAACCTGTGAAAAATATTTGTCTGCATTTAACACGTTTTACCTAAAACAGTTAAAATGTAAAGTCGGAACCTTTTATTCCATATTTTGAGATTTAGTCGTTTTAATATTACCTAAAAGTGTTAAAAGGGGTTGTCGTCAGAATTATATCTGAAATGACTGATATGCCCTAAAATTGGTATTAACTTGGTCGTTGTCAGTAAAAAGAATCGTATTCTTACCGTTCTTATTGAAATTTACAATTGATCTTAACCGTGGAAGAAAGAACACTTTTTTCAGGGAAGTATGATTGTAATAGAGCTCTCTGGGAAACTTACTCTTTTAGGCTTTTGCAAGAAGAACCCAGCAGGAGTGGCTTGTCTCACTGGTGTATATTTTTCCTGTATTTAACTTTATGCTAATTTCAGCTTCTGAAAATGAGGAGTCCGTTTAAATTTAGAATAGATTAAAAAAAAACCAGAAACACCTATAAATAGCTTGCTGAAATTATTAGAGCAGAGCTGACTTTGGAATCAGTTATACTATTGCTGTGTCTAGTTAGAGTGATTTTCCAAAACACTGAATTTAGTTTGGAGCTGTGAAGTAGTGAATTTTGCAAACTGGATAATCCCCAGTGTGCTTCATTTGGTAATTAACTGTTCCTGGATGATGAGGTGTGCGCCTAGTCAAGTACATAGCTTTCTGTTTGCAGGTCATTTCTTCATCTTGTTCCAGGAAAAAAGGGAGTCAAAGAACAATAAAACAACAAATCAGATCTGGTTTAGAAAAGGTTCAGATAAGGGTGAGGCTTTTAGGGTGAGACTGGCTATTGGGAGTTTTCACATAGCCGACATCCCCATTCCACAGAGTTTTTTACTGCTGAGGAAACAGGTTATAACCAATAAATAAAGAACCAGTATTTGAGGCATTTCTAAGGTCCTGTTTTTAACCCAGACCAGAGTTTTGCATGATTCCAGGAATAGGGTCCAGAATTTATTTCCTTTCTAATGTAGATTCTGAAAATTAACTGTTAAGACAAGTTTGTCTTTATTTTCCTCCCACATCTTAATTGTTGAAATAAAATTTCTAGGCAGAGAAGTTGACTGGGAATGAGATTAGACGGGAACATTTAGAGGTTTACCTTCTGATCACTTGCTGCCTGTTCAAGTTTTTATAAAAGATTATTTGGTTTCAACATTGCAAAATGTCGAAGCAGAAGAATGAGGGCTGTATATTCTGTGATCTGCTTTTTCCAATTAGATATAATGATAAAACTGTTATAATTTGCCAGTTGTATTGGGATGATAGTAAGTGTTAATCAGGAAAAAAAAAGATTCTATGGTCAGGTAAATTTGGGGAGCAACAGATTAAACAGTGTTGAACTGGCTTTTTTCATTGGAGAACTTCTTGGGACCTTTAATGTGCTAATAAATGTTGTGAATTACCCAGAGAAGAATAGTGAGTCTATTTTCCGAATTTATTTTACCTTCCTCTTATTCTTGGTTCTTTTGGAATACCATTTCCCCCCCCTTTTTTTTTTTTTTGAGGAAGATTAGCCCTGAGCTAATTGCTGCCAATCCTCCTCTTTTTGCTGAGGAAGACTGGCCCTGAGCTAAGATCCGTGCCCATCTTCCTCTACTTTATTCATGGGACACCTACCACAGCATGGCTTTTGCCAAGCGGTGCCATGTCTGCACCTGGGATCGGAACCGGCAAACCCTGGGCTTCGGAGAAGTGGAATGTGCAAACTTAACTACTGCGCTACCGGGCCAGCCCCCAACAGTTTGTCCTTTTTTATCTGTTTTACCTTTGGCTTTGGTGAGAGAGTGTCAAGTCACTTAAGGTACCCACAGCTTTTAACAGATTTTGCTGTTTTTATAAATGTGGGGTTATACGCTTCTGATCTGATGGTGTATATAAATGGATTTTTAGTAAATGAGGTCATATTTAAAAGCAGTAAGGGAGCTCGCAATTTAGAATAGCCTGAAATTAATCCTTAAAAAGTTTTTTTGTAATTATACTGTCTAATGGCTTTGTGGGTCATTGAGGGATGCTAAGACTGGCTGCTAGGATAAATCATAAAACCAGTACTATTACCATATCCTTAGAAATCATACTGGATATAAGGTAGTTGTGAAAGAAAATAATTAATTGCTTAATAAGCATTTCCTCAATTGTGTTCCCTGGGAAGGGAGAAGTTAATAAGTGCTGGTAATGAGCAGTAGATGGTAGGGAAGAGTTTTAAAACATAGAAGTTCGGGAAATTCCGCTTTTGGAGATTCACAGTTAGCAAGATTAAAGGTTCTAGGAAGTTCTACAAATAAACTTTTTATTTAACCCAGTATTTCTTAGATCTTTAATTGTGGAAACTTTCTTTCCCCTCATCCCTATTTAGCATCCTGAAAAATAGTGTTCTCTTTCTGTGGTTTGGGAATTTTTTTTTTTTTTTTTTTTGCTGAGGAAGATTCACCCTGAGCTAACATCCATTGCCAATCTTCCTCTTTTTGCTTGAGGAAGATTCACCCTGAGCTAAGATCTGTGCCAGTCTTCCTCTATTTTGTATGTGGGTCACCACCACAGCATGGCCACTGCCAAGTGGTGTAGGTCTGTGCTTGGGAGCTGAACCTGGGCCGCCGAAGTGGAGCATGCTGAACTTAATTGCTAGGCCATAGGCTGGCCCCTGGTTTGGGAATTTTTTTTTTTTTAAGATTTTATTTTTCCTTTTTCTCCCCAAAGCCCTCTGGTACATAGTTGTATATTTTTAGTTGTGGGTCCTTCCAGTGGTGGCTTGTAGGACGCTGCTTCAGCATGGCTTGATGAGTGGTGCCACATCTGCCGCCAGGATACGAACTGGTGAAACCCTGGGCTGCTAAAGTGGAGCACGCAAACTTAACCATTTGGCCACGGGGCTGGCCCCTGGTTTGGGAATTTTTGACTGTACATTTCAGGTATCTAGAAAGCGTTAGAAGATATTTGAAGTGGTGTCTTTATGCTTAGCACTGTGCCCTTTGGAGAGATGACTGAAACAAAGGAATCTCCTTGAAGGAATTGCTGTCTGGATGGAGGAAACAGTGAATACATATGCAGCAGGTGTGGGTGATAATACACAGTCTTTGTTCATTGCCATGTTAGAGACCACAAGTGGAATGAATAGAAATCCAGAGACTGGTTAGGTCAGGAACGTTCTGATGATAGGGCAGGACTTTTATGTTGAGGAATAGTGCTAGCTGATAGAGAACTAGTGCACTGTGAGAAATGTCATTGATGGCATATGTTACCCAACATCACCCAACAGTACATGGGGTCGGAAATAAATTGAGAACTACTGCCAGCAAGTTTGAAAGAAGAAATAGAAGTGCCTGGAAAAGAGGCCAAAAAACAGTGGTTAGAGGCAGTACAGTTCCAAAGTAGTATATTGCCTTGGGCAGAACCTGCAAAAGTGGAGAAAGATCATTCATGTTTAATATGGCAGAGAGAAGTTAAGTGCATTTGGCGATAAAGAAATCATTAGAGAAGTTGCATATATGAAGACAGAAGGACCTGAGTTTGTGTTGAGGAGGAGGGCAAGTATAACACAAAGGGAGAGAGTATTGTGGAACTGGGGTCCCTGATCAGAGTTGAAAAGTTGAGTTCTAGAGCTGTGGTTCCTGACCTGTAAGCTGTGAAGTAACTTAGGATGTACTTTGGTTGATTCATACTCTAAACATTGTCTGTAAATTGAACAAAACTTGTTCTGGACACTGGATAATAAAAATTCAACCCCCTATTGTGTAGGATCCTCAAAATATTTCATTGTTAACAAAGTTCTGTATTCACAAAGTTGAGGAATCACTTGTCAAGAGTTACAAACAGAAGAGGCTGGTTCAGGGAGTAGTATGTGGAATATTTCTCTATTTTGAGCTTATAAGGAAGGATAAGAGGGTATACAAGGTATTTTAATATTAAGATGAAGCCTTCACTTCTGTAAAGTGAGAATCTATGAAAAATGAGAAAGAGGCTGGGAAGAGAGAAATGAAGATTTGAGAGTAGTCTAGATTCTAGACTTTAGAATAGTATCTGGGGAGGTTTGACAGTTAGACAAGCAATGATTAACAGGATTGGTCAGCAGTTGGGAGGGCCCATATGAAAGTGGACCTGAAATGGGTGGACTTCACTGTAGGGGGGTGCTCAGGGATACAGGAGTAAGAGCATAATTGTCAGGGTACTGAAAAATTGTGGTCTGATGTGATTGATCAGAGAGAAGCGGGAGAGATGGAATGTGTGAGGGTTTGTAAGCAAGAAGTGCATGCTTTTTTTCAGGAAAGATGATGACATAGGTAGACTGTGAGAG